TTTTAATATTTTTTATATTATTCACAGTCATATAACAAGTTACTAGTAAATGTTAACAATAAAAAAAAATTTACTTCACTTGGGAAAAAAAATAATTTATGCATTATTATTTGTACATTTGCCCAAAAGCAGTCAAAATTACTTCCTTGGGCAATCTAGTGTTAATCACTACAATGTGATAAATTAATCAATTAGTAAAAAGCAAGTATATGTACCCGAAGACATATTTATACTGAGACAATGTCATGTGACTAGAAGTTACTTAATTTGGTTGAAAAGTGACATTTTGTTATGAGATGAGGTATTTTAGCCGGGGGTATAAGTGGAATCATAAATCATTGCCAAAGGAGGATTCTAAATCGTTTGCCATTCAAGTGTCATGCATCCAACTATTCTTATTGACAAAGTGCCACGTACTGATGGATGATCTCCTTTGACGTTTTGCAGTTGCTTGTTTTGCGCCCCGGCAGTCGGCGTCCGGGGCTCGACCGCTCCGGCCGCGCTCCCAGCAGCGCCGCCGCCAGAAACCGCGTTCGCCCCGGCTCCACTCGTGCCCGCGTTCGCATTTCCGATACCGGATACGCCGCCGACGCCGGAAGCCGATCCACTGCCACCCGCAGATGCTCCACTGGTCGCTGTTCCGCTCGCGCCAGCACCGGTTCCAACCGCGCCGCCCCCACTCGCTGACGTCGCAGGTTTATTCCCCGGACTACCGGTCGTCCTGCGATCAAAATCGGTCCACCATCTTCCAACTCTTTCCACTATTCAACGTGATCGCGAGTCGTCTTATTCGATTTCACCTTCGTTTAGGCACGATGCGAAATAAGGAAAGGAAACTCAATCAGAGTGTTTAAAATTGACAATGGCTGATTCAGCCAGAAATCAATTGTGCAGTCTGTTCATGGCAATTAAACTAAACGGCCTTCGAGCAATATCGCAAGCAGAGGAATTTAGGCGCTCTGTTTCTCGCGAACCGTTCGTTCACAGGGAGAGTGTCGTTGAAACAGACGATACAGAATCCAATGGATCGACGACTCTTTCTGAAACTCCCTCGGGTCAGGACAAACTATGCCTCGAAGTTACCGTGACCGTAATCGTTATACTATTTCTCTTATCGGGATTGTTCCTCGAATCCCGGTATAAGTCTCGTCCCGAAGTTTTACGTGCACTCTAACTACTAGGCTCTTTTATAGATAAGAGTTACGGTCTCAAGCTCGGATCTACGGCACGGATTGGAAATTGACACATTTACTCTCGTGGCGGGCAGTAGAACTAGACGAGGCGAAGCCATTGTTTGGCATAGCAATTTTCGTTAACTTTGCGTTTTTTATTAATAAAATAAGTGCGATGGAGGTCGGCGGGTTTACATTACGTACAAAAAAGTACCAACTGGGATTATTGTTGGAGTAGAGCAAATAAAAATTCATATCTTACAACATCTTGTTAGTTATCATCGCTTCCTTCGCCCAAATAAAACAAACGCTTTGTAAATAGAAGGCAACTCTGAAAAGATAGATCTCTTCAATGCATTGAAGAATGTTTTAAAAATCAGCAACATTATTAAAAGAACAAGATTTTATTCATTGCATTTTAAAAAATCTGATTATTTATTCGCAGGTAAAGTTTGTTTTTACAAAAAAGTGTGGTTATCTTGTTACATTTTAATATATGATATGATATGACTGTAATCCATTCTTTGTTGTAAATGTTCAAACAAGTAGAACATATTTTAATCAAAACGCAGTTCCCTCTTGTAATCTACTAGCCGGTGAAATTAAAAAAATTAATGAAGAAAGAGATAAAAACAG